ATTACTCCTGATCACAGGGTGAGCAGCAACTGGGTATTATTAAGGTGTCAGAGGAGAGCTACAGCAGAATCAAATATCAGACACTCTGGAAAGGCAGAGGAGCACAAATGCAGTAAGGAAAGTGAGCAGCTTGCCACAGGTTAACTGCAGTGGAGTCCATCTGAGCTCCCCCTCTCAGCGTCCACAGACCCTTTTGTAGGGATGACAGTAACTCCTCTATTACTCTATGGTTTTCAGGAATGGCCAATTTTATTCAGCACTGCAGAGTCACTCAGTCTAAAATTTAACCTGATCCAAAATTCAGATTGCTGTCACCACTGCCTTGTTTTTCTTCTTCCTAGTAGAGGGTACAGCAACAAACAATTACAGGCTGTACTGAATGGCTGACAGCTCTGCTGCAGTGAGTTGGAAGAGTTTTTGCTGCGACAGGAAGGTATTTGTGTCCTTTGAGGGCTCCCTTCTGCATCATTTCAGTGATTGGTTCTGCAGTTTGGGTTTATAGCAATGCGCAGTGGTTTCTGGTTTAGGTCTGGGCAAGCGCTCCTGGAAGTCACTCTTTGAGCGACTGTGGAGACGTCGTGTGACGGTATCCTGACTTGTGCAGAGCAGCTCGGGGAGTTTAGTGTAAATCCAGCATCACTCGCTCTAACTGAAACCTGTTTGCTGTCAGAGATGCTGCTGAGAGCCCGTTACAGTGCTCTGCTGCTCTGTCCCCCGGCTCTGTAACCAGCAAGACCAGAGTGCCACTGGAGTGGTGAGCCCTTGCTCCAAATTACAAGCACCATAGGAGTAAACCCTGTTTAAGAAGTTCGCCCCCTTACTCACTTTACCTAATCATCCTTCACAGTTTACCACATTTTCAGTTATATAGATTAAGCTGATTAAGCCGCACTCTAAATTGCATGTGGATGAACCAGGGTGAATAAATCCAAAAAGAAGAGTTCAGAGAGCTGAAGCCAGCTAGCTCCTAGCAGGTGTGTCCATCCCCAGCCCCACAGCACTCAGGAGTTTGTGGTAGGTACCAAGGATGCCCATCCTCAGCTCCTGGCTGCTGCATGCTCCCTGTGGGTATTCAACATGACCACATCCAGCCACCACCCTTTGGTCCTTCACTGTGAGGACACTTTCTGAAGCAAGAAATAGGGAGGATGAACAGTGAGGACAGAGCTGAATCCTCTCCATATTCCCACCCATACAGCTCTTCTTCCTCTTCTCCTCCATAAGCTGTCTCCCAAGTTAAGCCATCCATGCTCAATATTCGGAGCCCCGAGACCTGTACGGGACAGACCAGCTCAACCCTGCCAAGAGCTGAGCGCTGGGGGACTGATGATGTGGATTAGTTGGGACCACTGACATTTATAAATGAGTCAACAGACAGGTCTTAGAGCACTTAAAATACACTCTGTAAACAAAATGTGACTCAACCCTAATTACAGCAGAGTTACCTCTTCACTGTAATTTATCATTCACTTATAGTCATGCAGATAAGGTATTTAAGTAATAAAAAGTCTGGTGTACTGCAAAGGCAGATGCCAGCAAGGCAACTTAAATAGCAGGTGCTCTAAAAGCTTGTGAAAGACTAGGTGAAATGTCAGATAAATTGATTTGTCTTTTTTGTAACAAATTCAGAACAGTATTTTATTTCGGTAGCCTTAGTGGCTGACACATGCCAGTCCAAAGCAGAGAGTTTAAGTTTTTGTTATTTACAGTGACATGGGGCTCTTCTTCAGGAAAGTAAAGACTATGCAAAACAGTCCAAATACAAACTTGTCCTTAATCATCTCTTGATGCTGCTTAAAAGCAACATACTGAATATAAGCGACAGTGGCATAAAGCAGACTGCGAAAGCATGGGCTGTCACAGATGAGCTTTGGTGACCCATGCCTCTAGCTGAAGAAGTGCTGAGGCATGGATCCAGGCTGCACTTAATTAGCTCTTCCCTGGGAAGCAACCTCTGGCAGCACCAACAACCGAGAAGGCCAAACCTCCCCTGCTCCAGTCCAAATCTTGCATTTTGGTGAAACCAACAAAGTGGCAGAAGTGACAGGATCTCAAGACTGAATCGCATAGGAAAAAAAATCCCCAAAACATCGATTCAGGTAAATGGATAAACACCCTTGTGCGAATACTGCAAAATCAGCCTTACAGTGTCAGGGAAAAGCAAGGTAGAAATGTTTCGTTTCCACATTTGGGAAAATATAGAGATAGACCAAGTTCCAGAGACTTAATTTACTGACTAATCTACTAGATGAGTGGGTAAGGGAATAAACTAGATTTGCTTCCAGCTACGGCAGCCAGTCCTGAAAGAAGAACACGTTTGAGCCTGACTGCTTAGCACCTTGTAAGCTTTGTACTGAAATATGTCTCCAAGCCACAGAGATTTTAGTGGCTGCACCGGATTACATACTGGCTTTTACATGAAATCCATACAGAAAAGAAGATGCATGAAACATGGAAACAGTGCAGATTTGTCCATCAACAGTGTATTTAAGGTTCAGACAAAGTCTTAAAAATTTGGGATTTGCACGGCTCAGTGTTGCATCTCAAATGATTGTTGAGAATGAACCAAGCACTTGACTGTCGCAGGAACAACTCGCCAGGTGGGTACAGTTCTGTAACGTGAAGGTGTAAGGTAGAATTAAAAATGAATTGTAGTCAAAAGTTCAATCCCCAATGACCTCATTGTGTGAGTATGCGGCATTCATAAAAGTGCCTGCGGGCTGAATAAACTCCAATTAAAAAACAACCTGGCATAAGTATCTTTGGTGCCAAGCTACCTCCATGCTGAGGAAACCATGCTGTAAAGGAGGAGCAAGGAAATGAGCAATGAAACCCTTCAAAGGAATGGCAGGGAGAAACCATACCACTCTCCCTGTTTTGCAGTCACTCTGAGTGCCACAGCTTTAGGGTTGCCTATGGGATGAGGAGCAGGCGTGGAAAAAAGCGAGGACAGAGTTTACACCCCTTACATAGTAAGACAGAAGTAAACCCTGTCCTGCACAGCTCCTGCTTCCGATCCGCAACTCCCACCTCCAAGAGCTTTGCTTTTTTGGATCAGAAGAGAGGTCTGGATGCAGCTGCATCGTTTGGGTGGCTGCAGTTGTTTTGCCATACGCGGGGGCTCCGGGCAGGGCTCACAGCAGAAGGAGGGGGCCACAGTCCCCCCGAGGAGTCCGTCCCCTGGGCACCGTGTCCTTCATCTCCTGCAGGGCTCCATCCCACGCCGGCCGCCTGCCCGCTACACAAACCCAGAGCTGCCACCAGTGCACGCTCTGTATTTTAGACAACAGAGGCGAGCACTAAAAGGCACTCAAAATTAACCTAAAATATGTCATAATATAAAGAGAAAGTTTAAATTGCATGTTAGATAATAACAGAATGTGGTGTTAAAACTAAAACTGCAGTAACTTTTATCCACCCAATGTACACGTTCATTTGAAAACTGTACTGGTTTGTCGGGAGCCAAGGGGAGGGACCAGCTGAATTTCTCTGGGGTCATGATGGCAGATCACCACTAGATGGTAGATGAGTAGCATTAATTCTACTTCCCATTTTATTCCCGAGAAATGCAACTGACAGGCGTCCACACTAGGGCTCTTGCCTCTTCTGGCAGTGTGAAAGCATCTCCTTGCATATGCTCTTAAGTGAGAGTTTTGGGAAAGATGGATGGCTGTGGCAACTCTGGGACTCCAGAGGAGGAAATAACCTCAGAGCCCCAACATTTACACACATTGGGTTTAGTTTTCCAATCTTACCATAGCTGCAAGCACTACAGTAAACAAACTCGCTTTTCTCCAGCAGAAGGACAATACTGATAAGCTCTGTAACTATTTACAGTTAGTTCGCAAAAACCACGCCAGGCTTTCAAAAGTAAGATGGCTTGACAGACATTGTAAGACTGTACAGCATGAAAGGCTGAAGTTTGTGCAGCTGCAACAACTGCCTTTGTCTATCTCGTACCTAAGGGACAAGATGCTTTTAGTCAAACTGAGGTGGCATAAAAGACATGTCAGCTTTATTTTGTAAATGGTTTCCATATTCATACAGATCCAGAGGGATTTTTGCCCTGGTGTTATTTTTCCCAATGAGCAGCAAACCTCTCTCTGCCGCCTCACCCTGAGTAGCATAAAACCACATTACGGCCCATCGCTGGGGCTGAGGTGAGCCACACCATTTCAGATGGGTGCAGGATACGTCCGGCAGCTCTTCACCAACACTGCCAAAATTGCTCTGGTGCCAACTCACACAGTGCTTTAGGTAACGGCACAGGGTTATTACATGAACTTACCTCAGAGGTGCTGCAATACATCTATCTAACCATCTACTGAGAGTATGAAATCATGCGTTAGGTGCAGTGAAACACTGGTGTCTTCACCAAAACATGAGTAGCCACACACTCAGCCCAGTATCTAAAGTACTGCTCTTTGAAATTTGCAGGCAAATAAATAACCAAACAGTTTATCCTCAGCATGGCCATCACTGGACAGTGAAAACATCAGATACAACTGAATGCTTAAACCTCTACTGTACCTGCCACGCCACACTGCTCTACAAGTACTACCATGTTCTGCAAGGCTTCCACAGGCAAAGTGTTTTACACTGAATCAACACTCCTTCAAAATATACAGACTCTTTAGAGACCTTTCAGCTTGGAAGGAAACACGGCCAGACCCTGCTTAGGCTGGTAAAAACTGACAAGAGCACATGACAAGGTGGTGTATCAGCAGGGTGCAGTAAGCTGCCCTTGAAAACATACATGAATAGCTTTGCTGCCAAAACTTTCTTTGATATTAAAGCACAAAGAAAAAATAATTTGATGTTAGCATCCAAAGAGAATATATTAAAGGAAATAATTGCTGTCAGCATATTTTAGCAATAACGAGCTGCAATAGCCATTAGTACTCAGGTTATTTTGCATTGTTTGCATTGTTTTGCATTAATAAAGACAAAATCTGATGGATATATATGCAGCTTCTAAAAGATTTTGCTTTCTTTCTTACCTCTTCCTTTTTCTCTTCAGCACCAGAGGCTAAATTGAGGCTCAGCTGAGAGTGGCTGCTTATGCCACTGTCTTCATTTCCATCATCATAGTACACAGTTTGCACCGAGTCCTGGAAGCAAACAGGATTCCTGCCCAACTTCAGCCCCGGTACCTCGACTCTCTCCTCGCTCTCCGATGAGCTCAGGGACAATGTGCTGTGATGGTTTGGGCACTGGAAATTCATACTGCACTTGACCTTCTCTGCAGTGGGACTTTGAGGCTTTGGAGTAGTCGGCCTGATGGGAACGTGAGGGTTTTCAGCTTCATATGTAAACTGCTGGGTAGCTTTTGGTTCATCCGAGTCCGAATAAAACACTTCATTGGGAAATGGACTAATGTCATTCAGCGTGGGTGATAAACTATCAGAGTCTGGGATACCCGATGATGTCCTGAGGCTTTTGTCTTCAGCAACAGCTACATTCATTTCAGTCTCTTTATCCTGAGCAACTGCGGGGCTTTGCAGACAAGGTGTTCCTGGTGAGGAAGAGTCTGGACTAGATACCGGGGAGGTGCATCTCTTTCTGTCATGATCCGTGCTGCTGGAAACCCTGCGGGAGTAGTCATCGTGCAGTCTGCTGTTTGACCTTGTTCTCTGGGACTGCTCACTGGGAGAAGGAGCTGTGCTCTTAGGGCCATCCTTCTTCCATGCGACATCTGTAACATTACTGACAAGTTTCAAAACTCGGTCAAAATCCTTTGCCCTGATAGGGCTCTTCCATCGCTTGGATCTCCTCCCGGGGTTCCCACCGGTTTTGTCCGAGTCAGCAGAAGGAACACTCACAGTCCTTGTTGGCATCTGGTTTTCACTTGCAACCTTGAGGTCGGTAAGGTTGGAGGTGGACTTCCGTTTGAATGAACTTTTTTTCAGAAAGTTCAAATTATCTGAGCTTTTGCTTCTCCGATAAATGATCCTGTTGTTTTCAGAGTCTTTCACTAAAATTTCACAGATCTTTGGCTCTGCGATGACGGGTGATGTTGGCCTACTACAGTTGTGATGACTCTGAACTTTATCTGTGTCTAGCAAGTTTATGCGGCCAGCACCGTAAGCCCGCCTAATGCTGCGCGAGCGATGAGTATTCCTCAGGAAAGACTCATCGGTCTCCTCCGCATCAGAGCAGTCAGAAGCTAAACCATCCACTGCATTCTGGAAATCATGTAGAGGCCCCGAATAGGAATACCTGTTAGTCTGAACTCGCACCACTGCCCCGTTTGAACCATGTTTGCCTACGCCATTCTCGTTTAAGATGTCTGAGCATTCCCTTGTTTGGATTCCTTGGAGCACCGAAGATTTCAGCTTCTTGAAAGATCCCATTTTTCTGATGGAAGACAAAGCATTCCATGTGGACGAGTTGCCCATCAAAACCAGAGAACGAGGCCTGTCAGAGCTGGAATTAGCCCGTTTCCGAGGGGTGGTGAAAAAGCGCATGATTTTGGAAGGGCTGAGTTTATCCTCTTGAATTTCCTCCTCATGACTGTTGCTGGTGCTGTATCCCCCATTATGACTGACACAGGTAGTCTGGTTTTGGGGCTCTTTATTATCCATAACTATACAAGTAACGGTGGTGCCATTTCCACAGCCATTCGGAAATGTTGTCATGCTCTCGATGCTGTACGCATGGAGACGGAGGCTGGGGTAGCTCAAAGCGACACTGCTGTCTCCACCAGCCGACCTCGCTGCCTCTCCTTCATCTGCTGCACCTTGGTCTGTCTTGCTTTCACATCGACTGGGTGAACTGAGCTCCTCAGGCTGCACTGCCTGCATCAGGAGAACAAAAGCAACTGTGAGAGAAATTACCTTACAAAGTCCCCAAGTCAAAAAAGTTTGAGTCCCACTGTAGGAAATAAAGACACACACGAAACGAGGTTCTTTTTTGCCGAACAAAGGTGTGTTGCAGTGGTGAGGAGAAGGCACTCATAACTCCCTCGAAGTATAATTGCATTCATTAGCAATTTAACAGACCTGAATAATTTCAGTATGTACTTGTTTCCCTAATGCTTAATAACCTCATAAATTCAGTATGACTACCACACCTACCTTACAACACTAAATATAATCCACATACACACTTAAAGAGAAACCCCCAACAACAGCAATTTGGTCTTCCTGCTCAGCACTGAGCCCTGGGACACGTGAGAAGTTTTCATCCAAAAAAACCGAGCACATCCATCAGGTGCCACCTAATCCTCAACCAGCAGGCAACGAAGAGGGAAATAGATGTATTTTTTCCTACACTTGCTACTGTCAGAAGGCTGCATGACACTCAACTGTCTTGTCTGTCCCCTAGCAGGTGAACCGAAGAGTCACACCAAGCGCCCAGCGAAGTGTTTTTCCCTAGCCAAAGAAAAGGTTCAGAGGTACATAAAGCCAGCAGCCAGCCTACGCTGTCACGACAGCGCCAGGAAAACTCGAATTTGGAAGCGACCGGAGTCTCTGTGACTGGGACGTGCTGTACAAGGGATCTCCCGGAGCTGAGCGTGGGAGACCCAGCAGCCCAAACCCCAACTCCAGTGCTTGGGCCCGGGGGGCAGCGGCAGGTCCCGTCCGGGGCGAACACGGAGCATCTCGCCAGCGGCGGCGGTTTCGGGGCTCGTCCCCACCGGTTTTAAGGCTGCTGCCTCCTGAGAGCGCTGGAAAAGGAGTTTCGGGAGCCTCTGTCCTCCCCACCGGTTTTAAGGCTGCTGCCTCCTGAGAGCGCTGGAAAAGGAGTTTCTGTCCCTCTGGGGATAAACGGATTTTCCTCGCGTTTCAGCCTGAAATCTCCCTCGCCGCTGCTTTTAATCCCCCCC